CGGGCGGCCGTTCCGCCCCCCCCGCGCTGCGGCCGGGGCTCGGCCCCGCTCCGTCCCGCGGCGCAGGGAGCCGGGCCGGTGCCAGGGCTGCCGCCCGGCCGGGCCGCAGCCCCCGCCGCCATGGCCCGCGTCTCGGCGCTGCTCAGCCCCGTCCTGGTGCTCTTCGGCTGCGACCTCTGCCTCGTGCGAGCCAGTAAGTGCGGCCGGGCCGGGAGGGCACCGGGGCCACGCGTCGCTGCGGACCTGGCGCCTCCCGGGCGGGGGGACCCTGCCGGGCGCCCGCCCCTGCCGTGGGCTGCGGCCCCCCGGACCCTCCCGCCGGCCTTCCCCCCGTCCCCGGGGTGGCCTCGGCCGCAGACCCCGGGCACCCCTCGGGCACCCCTCGGGCACCCCTCGGGCATCCCCGTGACGCCGCGGCCCCTGAGCCCCCTGTGCCTTCGGCCGTGTCGTGTCCCCTCCCCGCGGGACGGCTGCGGCCGCGCTGCCCTTCCCGGGGGCTCCCGCGGAGCGCGGCCCCCGCATCCCGTCCCGCCCCGATGGAGCTCCTGCCCCGATGGAGCTCCTGCCCCGGGAGGAGACGCTCCGGGCTGCGGCGGGCTGCGGCCGGCCCCGCCTGGCGGGGATCCTGTCCCTTCCTGCCGGTGTTCGCCGGGACACCGAGCTCGGTGCACCCGGGGCACCGCTGTCCTTGTGTCCCTTGACTCGCCGGGATGACTCGCTGTCAGCAGCCGCCTCCTGCTGTCAGTTTGCCCCTCGTCAGGTTACTGAGATATTAAATCGAACTGCGAGTGCCAGACGCGTTCTGCTACATTCTGCCGTGTTTTCCGTCTCCTTGCAAGATACGTGCTGACGGATTCAGGAAGAGATGCAGTCAGGGGTGTTAAAAAGGGGCCACTTATTTTTAGATGTGCGGTCTGGTGCTTACTCCCTGCTGCAGCAGTAAGTTGGGCAAACATCTGGGTGCCCTTGAGCCGTAGCCCCAAGGGCACGGGCCGAGGGGCAGGGGTGATCCCCTCTCCGTGTCACAGCAGGATGGGGAGGGCACCGATGGAGCTGTGCCCCATCCCTCTGCAGCACCACGTCTGCCAGCATCCCTCATCAGGGGTATCTGTCCAGCCCCTTTGCTAACCCATGGAGCCGGGCTGTGCGGCAGATCTGGTCCCGTGCCCAGCTACTGACTGACCATCCCTCCCACTGCCCACCAGCCACCCCTCCTGGTGCCCAAACGCAGGCTTGCAGTGCTACTGGCTTCTGCACACAGCCCAGGTCTTCCCACCCCTTCATCAGGCCCGAAAGGAGCACTCTGCTGTACAGGCAGGACAAAACCTGCGCCAGGCCTTAAGTAAGTGACTGTGCTTTCTGTGGGATGCCCCTTTTGTAATACAGCTTTAATAAAAAGTGAAGCTGGACAACTTATAAATGATGCAGAATCATTAGTGGTTAATGCACTGAGCAAGGCTAAACAGTGGCACACTTTTCCCAGAGAGCCCAGCAGCATCTTGGCTTTATAGCCAGAACGTGGTTATCAGAGAACATGTTTTTTGGAGCCCTTGCATTGACAGATCTTTATGGCAACAGCTCTGGCATGAAGCTACTCTGACCTCAGCTGCAGAGCTGGCTGGACAATGCTAGATGCCACGTGGGGACCATACACAAAGCTTTGTCCTTTGGAAGTCTTGTTGTAACAACTTTCTATGATATCTTGCATATCATAGAATCCTGGAATGGTTTGGGTTGGACCTTAAAGACTATCTAATTTCACCTTCTCTGCTGTGGGCAAGGGCACATTCCACTAGACCAGGTTGTTCCAAGCCCCATCCAACCCTGCCTTCCAGGTCAGGGGCAGCCACAGCTTCTATGGGCAACCTGTATCAGGGCCTCAGCACCCTCACAGGCAAGTCTTTCTTCCCCATATCCCATCTAACCGTGCCCTCTGTCAGTGTGAAGCCATTCCCCCTTGTCCTGTTCCTCTAGGTCCTTGTCCAAAGTCCCTCTCCAGCTCTCTTGGAATTTTTAGGCACTGGCAGAGGCTCTGAGGTCTCCCCAGAGCCTTCTCTCCAGGCTGACCAACTACAGCTCTCCCAGCCTGGCTGCAGAACAGAGGTCTTTTGGATTAAGCATTGTCCCATGTATCTAGGGTTAACTTCTCAGAAGTTTTGACTTCTGAGGCTTCCCATCTTATCTTTTTCTGCCAGGAGTGCAAATCCCGTGTGCTCAGAAGGGTATTTTCTGCAGTTCGCTCAGTGTCAAACTGACGAAGGAACACTGTTTTTTCCAATGCAGAACTGCAGCCTGGACACCAGGTCTCCTGTCACACAGGTTCAGGGCTGCTGGCCTGGAGGCTGCACTGGGTGTGTTTGGGATGCGTGAGGTCTGGCACACTGAGCCCTGTGTGCTGTGGCTCTGCTGTGCCCCCGGATCCTCTCACCCTCCTGCTACCAGTGACGTCCCTGCACGGGGCCTGTGCAAGCTCTGGCTCAGTACAGCTGGAGCAGTTCTGTCAGCCCCAGGTGGACCCAGGAGCATGGCTTGGGAATCAGTGCATTTGAATTGTTCTCAAATAATCGAGTGACAGTCTCGGGGCCGTGTCTCAGCATCCTCGGCCCAAAAACCTGGGCTGGGCCAGGCTGGGCTCCCTGCAGAAGCCTAGAAAATTCTTGTGCAGAGCTGGGAGCCTGCTACAAGCTCCATCCACAAACTTCTGTGTCACAGAGATGTCAGACCCTGTCTTTAATTTCCTCACGAACACTTAAAGGTTGGGAGTCCGGTTGCCCCCATTGCGCATGTTCAGGACTCTTTTAATTCTGTTAGATGTAAAAAGCCCCCTAATTTATTGCTGTAGATGTATCCTGTGGAGCACCGTGTCCTGTTCTTGTCCCAAGGCCAGCTGGCAGGGTTTGGTCACATCCCTAGTATTAAGCTCATGAGTTCCAAAGAGGGGGGCACATCAGTGCTACCTGCCAGGAGTGGTTTCTGGCTCGTGCTGGCTCCCAGGCCGTGCCCAAGAGTGCTTTGGACACATCCTGGTTGGTGTAGACCAAATCAGTTCTCGGACGAATCTCCACCCCTGGATTCTTGGGCTGTTCTGACCCCACTGTGTTTGCTGGCACAGTGGTGCTGTAGGACAACTGTTCTTATGCCTGAAGGCCAGCGGAACCATGCAGCCCCTCATACTCCCACACTTTGCAATGCCTGTGGCCGGGACAGCACCGGGGAGTGGTTGTTTGCCAGCTGACAGGGTGCTGCCCCAGCTGGGCTGTGAGCTGTGCAGCTGACCTGACAGGGGTCATGGCTGGGGTGGAAAACCAGACCAGGCCCAGCAGAAAAGGACTTGGGGTGCTGGTTGACAGCAGCTGAACATGAGCCAGCATGTGCCCAGGTGGGCAAGAAGGCCAAGGGCTTGTGTCAGCAATACTGTGGCCAGCAGGACCGGGACAGTGACTGTCCCCCTGTGCTGGGCACTGGAAAGGCACCTCCAGTCCTGGGGGCAGTTTTCGGCCCCTCACGACAAGAAAGAAAAGAAGCATGTCCAAAGAAAGGCAATGGAGCTGGGAAAGGGGCTGGAGCACAAGCCTGATGAGTGACTGAGGGAACTGAGGGGGCTCAGCCTGGTGAAAAGGAGGCTCAGAGAGGACCTTCTTGCTCTCTACAATTCCCTGACAGGAGGGTGGAGCTAGGCCAGGGTCAGGATCTTCTCCCAGATAACTAGTGATAGGACAACGGGCAATGGCCTCAAGTTGCACCAACTGGAGGTTCAGGTTGGATGTTAGGAACAATTTCTCATTGAAAGAGTGGTGAAGCATTGGAACAGGGGGCCCAGTGCAGTGGTGGAGTCACCACCCCTGGAAATGTTCAAGAAATGACCTGACACGGCACTTTCCGATATGGTTTAGTGGGCGTGGGGTTATTTGGTCAAAAGTTGGAGTTGATGATCTTGGAGGTCTTTTCCAACCTTGATGATTCTATGATTCCATCTGCAGGGAGCTCAGCTCCTGTGCCCACGGAGTACATAACCCTGGGCAGTGGCCAGGGCTGGGGCCGTGGCTCTGGTCAGCCTGTTTTGCTGATGGCGTGTGGGAAAGCAGAGTGCACGGACACAGACATGGCTCAGGGGCTCCCTCTCACAGGCTAGTGATCAACCAGATCCCCGCTGGCAAAACTACAGAGAGACATTCTTTGTGGGATAAAGGATATTTGAGTGTATCTTTGAATCTTTTCCAGTTTTCCCGACTCCTGTTCTGAAAGAGAAGCACAGAACCCTGTGATATCCTTGTTCATGTTGTCTCCAATGACCCTCTCTCCTGATGGTGTGTCAAACTTCTGGAGACACACTCAGTCCCATGGTCTCTCCGAGAACAATTTTTTCTATTTTCTGGGCTCTCCTGTCTGTTTTAATTGCCCTTGGCAGACTACAGTCCTGAATTTGTCAGAGTGGGAACCACAGCCTTCTCCTGGTTTGATCTGCAGCTGGGTATTTTCAGATGTGAATGAATGCACTAAAATAGCTGGCCTGCAGAAAACACCTTTCCTTGTCACTCTAACTGGGGTTGTTGTTGGTGTCACAGCTGACCTTTCTCTTGTTCTCAGGTGCCCTCTGGGGCTCTTTTTCTATCTGTATAAATCACAACACTGACTTTGTGCTACATGGGCAGCTTGTAGAATGACACTGACTTGTTTACGAGAGTGAGGACACACGAACAGGAGCCTCAGTGTCTTTCACGTGCTGCTGTGTGTTATTTCAGGACAAAATTTGGCTTTGTGTACAGGACTGCGTAGGGTCCTGCCGTGCTCTTAGTGCTGTGAAGTCTCAAAGTGGTGATGGTCAGTCAGGGGTCAGTCAGGTCAGCTTTGTGCAGAACAGCAACGGCTGAGCGTTGCTGCCAGCTTTGCAGCCAGTGGCACTGCACTGCTGGGACAGCCAGCTCTGCCTTCAGCATTGGCCTTTCCCCCACACCCTGGAGCAAGGAGTAATGCCAGGCAGGGGAAATGGCCAGATTGAGTTGCAGAGTGTGTATATTCCAAGCTGCCCCATTTTTCTGTCACAGTCAGTATATCATTGCTGTGTCTGGGCTGCTTCCTACGTACTTCTGGGTGGTGTGCCAGGATTTGTGATGTGCCCATCCACAGGACAGTCCCAGAGCTCTGTGCCTGCACACTCCTCACACACACAGTGGGCAGCTGCAATGCTCTGCCTGTGTTGCTGCTGGCAGAGCTCAGCCTCATGCACCTGCTGTGCCTCTCCTGGGGACAGATTCACCAGGGAAGCTGCTCCCTGTGGCCCTGGCCAACATGTTGCCACAGGCAGGTGTTGGAGAGGCCCCACGGTGGTGTGCATGGATGAGTGCCTGTTCTAAGACATCTTCTTTTGCCTCTTTCCTGTGCCTCGCCTTGCTCCGTGCCCGGCTCATCCAGACAGGCCACCGTCCCCTGTCAACGTGACTGTGACACAGCTGAAGGCAAACTCTGCCACAGTCTCCTGGGACGTCCCAGAAGGAGATGTGGTCATTGGCTATGCCATCCTACAGCAGGTATCCAGGCTCTGTCCCCAGGGGGCTGGGGACACTGATTACCAGCATGCTCCTATGTCAGCCCTTTTTCCACAGTCTGAGGCTCCCCTGGTACCTGCCCGAGGGCACCTCTGCTGCTGAGCTGCCCTTGCCAGGGCACCCCACCTGAGCCATCCATCCTGGTGGGGGGCAGCAGACCACAGGCTGCAGTGGGGGTAGTCCCTCTAGTAGCTTCTCTGTGATTTCTCTGGATAAAGATCTTGCTTCAGCCATGACATAACCCTTCTTTGCTTGCTTGCTCCACCTATGCAGCCCTGGGTGATAGTGGCTTCTCCAGAGAGACACCTGGCCCTCAAACCATGCAGGGATGCTGCCAAGCGCAGTGCTGGCCAGCCTGGCCCACCCCGGGGTGGATGGTTGCCTGGGAAGGGAGGAGTGAAGGCCGTGTGCCCAGCGCAGCCCTGCAGCCGGGGGACTGTGCCTGTTGCAGCCGGGAGCAGCCCCTGGGGTGTGACAGCTCTTCCCTCTGGCAGCGGCAGGACGGGCAGATGCAGCGCTTCATCCGGGAGGTGAACACCACCAACAGAGCCTGCGTGCTGTGGGACCTGGCAGAGGACGCCGACTACATCATCCAGGTGCAGAGCATCGGCCTGTACGGGGAGAGCCAGGCCAGCAAGCGTGTCCACTTCCGCACCCTGAAGGAGACTGACCGCCTGCCTTCCAACAGCTCCAACCAAGGTGAGCTCCTTCCAGCTTCTCCAGGCACTGCTGCTGGGGCCACACCTGCAGGTCTCCACAGCAGATAAGGAGGGATTCGGCAGTCAGTGAGGAAGGTGCTGCCCTGAGCAGCAGGCTGGGGACGCGCAGGGTTGTACAGGCTGCTGCTTTGTTCATTGTGGCCCTGATAATGTCCCCAAGCCCTGGTTTGCAGCCCTCCTGTCCTGGGTCTTGGCACCTATTGGGCTGGGCAGACTGTGGCCAGCATAGCTGCTGCCTGTAGGAAGCCAATCCTGAACGGGCTCTCAGATCATCCAGCCTGCAGGCTACCAAAGGAGAAATGACAGAGCCCCACTGTCTCCTTTCCCACCCATATCCCTGTTGCCTTGGAGTTGCCTACGTGCTGACCCATGAGAGATAATCCAAGAGATGATGCCCAGAGAGGGCACAGGAGTCTGTCTCCAGCACTAAGTATGAGAGGGGGTCTTGAGTATGGTAGGGCAAGCAGATGGCTGACTTTCCTCAGAACTTTTCTGTTCAGCCGAGAGCCTTCCTGACCTGCCCTGGCCCCTGCACAGGGAGTGATCTCAGTGATTACTGGCATTCATTGTGCAATCCCTATGTGAACCCAAACAAGCTGTTGGAATGACTGACTGCCTTTGTAGCAAGGATAGTTAATCTGACACAGGAAAGCCATAGGATGTAACATCCTCTCCCCAGCCAGGAGAGAGGACATCCCACACCCATCCTTGTTTGGGGGAAGTGGGCTTCTCTCCTTTGGAGTTCCTCAGATCCTCCAGTGTTGCTGTGTGCGAGGGTATCTGTTGCCAGCCCTGCCCAGGGTCTCTTCTCTGCAGGTGACATCACCATGAAAGGGCTGGACAAAGACCGGCAGCTGCAGACAGGAGAGATTATCATCATCGTGGCTGTGCTGCTCATGTGGGCAGGTGAGTGCCACAAGCAGCATTCTGGGGGGCTGGGGCAGAGGTACAATCCAGGATGCACAAAGAGGATGTGGCTCAAGAGAGTGCAGAGGCACATTGATGTGGGTCTGGCATCCTTTCCAGTAAGTCCATTGAATCTCTGTAGGAGATAGAGCCAGTGGGGTAAAAGGAGCAACCGCAGCCACTGCTCAGCTATCATGGCCTGGAGTATGTGGAAGAGCAGGAGACAGTGTGGGACCCAGAATTACAGGGTGGGAGCATCCCACATGATGGTAACGAGTGGGTGTGTTGCTTGGGCCTTAGCTAGTGTGTCTGACACCTGCTAACACTGCTGCACTGGCTGGTGCAGCTGTAAGGTGGGTGATGTGCTCCTGTACAGCAGGATTAAGGCTAGTGCTCCAGCAGACAGCAGGTTGCCCTGGAAGCATGGGAGCCTAGAAGGTAAGTCAGCTCCTGATTAGTCACATGCAGCTGCTGTGAATGGGAAATCATTGGTCCCCTACTCCCTTCCCAGGAAAAGTGGATTTTTTAGTGGTATCTTGCAGGATACCTTTTCCTGTCCTTGACACTTTTCTAGTGCACTGGAAGAAAATACAAGACAATGTGGCACATGTTGGTGTGTCAGAGTGCCAACAGGGAGGAGTCAGGCCCACTCTGTGCGTGCCTGTGTGTTATCACACACACACTGGAGTTTGACCAGCACAGTCACGGCTGGGGGCATCACTCCATACTCCCATGTCCAGGGTCCCCAGGTGTGGGACACGCTGCATGAGATGGGTGCTGTGAAACCAAGGCAGAGTGACTGACTCCACAGCCAGTTTGCACAGACAAAGCCAAGGGCTGGTTTTTGTGAGGGTCACAAGCACCAGCCCCCTAACTTTAGTGCCTTGCTGGAGTTAGTCCAAAACCCATCCAGCTGCTCTCTGACCTCACTGTCCCTCTCCAAGTGCCTGAGCATCTGCCCCTGGTGAGCACTGAGCACATGCCCTGTGCCCCAGTGGCCTTGGCCACTTCCATGCCTGTCTGGCCCAGCCCCACGTGCAGAGGTGCCTCGGGTGGTGCGGGCTGATACACGAGGGGTGTGGGTGTGCAGCACCCTGGGGAGCCCTGGGTGCCACTCCTCTGCAGCTGGGATGCTGCAGGGAGGGGAAGCAGGCACAGCCAGTGCGAGGGAGCCCTTCATCCCATCTTTCAAGGGAGTCCTTCATCCCGTCTGTCTTTTGGCAGCGGTGATTGCCCTGTTCTGCAGACAGTATGACATCATCAAGGATAATGACTCCAACAACAACAAGGAGAAGACAAAGCCATCCTCAGAGCACAGCACACCAGAGCGACCGAGCGGAGGGCTGCTGCGGAGCAAGGTGAGTGGGGAGGGCTGGCAGAAGGGATGGCATGTGATGTCTGCTGGGGCTTGTGGCCTCCACAGGTTCTGAATCTCTCCAGAAACAGAAACACCCCAGCTTACACTCTCACACTAAAGACTGAGAGGTTTTAGGGTGCAGTGAGTCCTGGTCTCTTTGGGGCAGTGTGTGTGCCCCATGGGTGATTGCAGGAGGAACACTGCAAGAGACGACAGGATGTGTCAGCTGGGATGGCTCTTGCCCTCTCTGTCCTCTCACTGTAACAGACCCTTCACCGTGCCCCTCCAAGGCTGCACCTCCCCTGCACCAATGGACCGGTCTGGCTCCTGCCTGTTCAGGCAGGAGTGGACAGGCTGGGCAGCTGTTCTTGTGGTTCCTGCTCTGGTCTGTCACTGCTTCCTTTCTGCCTTCACCACAGCCTACTCCAGGTTATCACCACACGAGTCATTCCAGAGCCCTTTCCCCACCCTGATGGAGATGTGCCAGGCTGTGGATGGGAAGGGAGGAGTACTTTCATCTGGCTGTTCCCTCAGCACCTGACACTTCTCCCTTTGTTACCTGCCAAAGACAGTGATTTATAGCCCTGATGCTCTAATGGGACTGTGCGTTAGGTTTTTGCTTGTGTCATCTGCCGCCTCTGTCAGTGGTGGGAACTCCCCTCACTGTGTTGCCTGACTGCCCCACTGATTCCACATCTTGGTTTCCAGCGGATGTCAGGAGCAGAACCTTCCTGTTGGGACTTCAAGGCCCCAGTTCCCCTCCTCCAGATTTTCCAGCTTCTTGATTACTCCTTGCCAGAGATCCCTCCTCTTGGATCCCTACTGCAAACTGACCCTGCTCTGCTGAGTTCTGCTGGTCTTGGTGCCCGCTGTGGGCTTGGGGGGCTCTGCCAAGGGGTCTGATCCCAGGGGCACAGCAAAGCAGGGCCTTAAAGCAGATTTTTCTCTCATAGAAGAAATCTCCCTCAGTCAATATCATCGAGGTGTAAGTGCAGCACCAGCTCTGCGTCTGGGGTCCTGAGTGTCCTGCTAGAGCCAAAGCGGGCCTTGGAAGAAGAGGCAGCACCAGGCGCCCGGCCTGGAACTCAGCATGCGATGATCCACGTATCAGAACTCCCACTTTCCCGAGGGCAGCTGTCCGGGGATGTGCCTGGAGCTGGCTCCCAGCCGTGCATGCAGAACGTGGCCCTGCCCATCCCGCGCTGGCCCCGCTCCCTCGCTGCTGCGGAGCTCAGAGCTGAGGGCGGGTGGGGGGCTACACCCCCGGCTGGGGGGGGGCTGAGGGGAGCCGAGGGGGCACTGCACTGGCCTGAGGGGTGGCCACGTCCCTGGGCACCAGCTTGGCCAAAGCCCTGGGTGCAGCCGTGGCACTGGACGCCTGCCTGGTGTCAGCCCGGGACAGACCTTGCTCTCAGCTGCCTGTCTGGGCTTGGGGGCTGCCTGTGGAGGACGGGAGCTGCTCCCCTCTGGGCCCTGAGGCTGAGGGGATGGGGCAGTGCAGGCATTGCCCCAGTGCTGCCAGGGGAGCTGTGGCCAGGTGGCAGGAGTGTTTGTCTGTGGGGCTGGGCCCAGCCAGCACAGGGGAAGAAGAGTGGATTGCTGCTGGAGAACAGGGCTCCACTGCACCCTGTCATGGCCACACAGGGACTTTGAGACCTCTCTTTCCTACAGAGGACAAAGACACAAATGAGGATGAGAAGTGAGTGCTGGCACAGTGCCTGGCCAGCCCACAGAGCCTGCAGCCAGGGCAGGGATTGCTAGTGGGAGCCCCACAGAGCTGGGAGAGTGGGCAGTGCCAGGGCATGGCTGTGGCTGCACCGTGTCCCTAGAGGGGCTCAGTGCTGGCACATTCAGGCTGTTTGTGGGGAGCACAATGCCTGTGCTGCCTGGAGGAGGCAATGTGGTGAGGCCTGCAAGGTCTCAGTTGGAGGGAACAGGATGATACAAGGAGGCTCTGCTGCCCTGGCTGCTGCTCTCCCTCCATGCTCTGCTCTGCAGCCTGGACTCAAGCATCACAGGATCCAGCGTCTTCCAGGAATAAACCTCCCAATAAAAGCACTTTCAGGACTCTTCCTTCCAGGTGCTGCTCAGCTCCTGCTGCAGGACTAGGTGGGGAAGGGATGGGATAAGCGACTCCTGCGGCAGGGTCTTTTCAATAAAAGCATCCTGGCTCAAAGGCAGCATTGTCCCTGCAAAGCTGCAGGTCTTGTGTGTGTCTGTGCACATGTATGTGTATCAGTAGTTGTTGAATACATCTGTCTGGCCCTTAGGAGAAGACCTCTTCCTGCATGCTGTGCAAAAGCTGCAGGTCCTCCAAGGTCACCTTGCACCCCTCTGGCCCTTGAGGGAGAGCCAGCGCTGCGTGCTGGGCCGTGTTGTGTTGCTGGAGCAGTGGCAGGCTGTCCCACTGAGGATGGCATCACAGCTGAGAGCAAAGACATCCTGGCAGCAGGGCCAAGAAGGGACAAGGCCTGACCCTGACAGGCTGCTGGCTGGAGGGGCCTGCACTGCTCCCTGCTCAGGTGAGGAAGGGGGGACCTGAGTGGGGATGGGATGCAACTGCTGCTGGGCTGTACCCTGGGCTGCAGGGAGTATGGTCGCAGCTCCAGAAAGACAAATACCTTGTTTTGCCCACTGGCTTGTTTTTTAGGGTACATTAAAAAAATTAGGGCTGCCAGGGAAATACAAGAGTAGGCACACACAAAGAATCAAAGGATCATACTACAGCAGAGATGAGGAGCTAGGGAAGGAACAAAAAAATTGTCAAAATGCACTGGTTGGGGCCAAATAAAAAAGGAACACAAAGATCTGACATTAAATATAAAAGTAGGATGTGGTGTTGAAGCAAAAAAGACTTCCCCCACCCAAAAAAACCCCAAACTCCAAGCCACCACTTCTTTCTCAGACCACGGCAGTGGAGGAGGGCAGGGAACTGCAGACATGGGTGCTGGAAGCAGAGGGCCTGACAATGACCTGCTGACTCTAACAACAGGTACAGGTTGCTATGTGCCCTGAGCTGAGGGAGGAAAGGCACAAGACCAGATTCAATATGCGAAACCACAAGTGAGAAAAACAGCACACAGCTCCTGACTGACTCATGGCACCCCAAGCCTCCCCAGTGCCAGCCTTCCCATGGCACCCCA